TTTGTGCGCAAAGCCCAAAGAAAGATTTTGAGAAGAGAGAGCTGGGTTCTGGGGTGACATTCAGCATGTGGGCTGATGCTGTCGGGACCTTGGTCCTAAATATGGCTGGCTACAAAGGTGTCATCCACTTACTGAATCTGTAGTATTTAGTTCTGACATTCATTCTTTTAATTTTCCCTGAATCCCAAAGTCCTCAACGTGCAGGATGTTCAGAAGCCTTCAGTGCCAGCTCAGCATCTGGGACAAGACAGAACTGAACAACTCCTCTCCCTTTTCCCAGTCGTCTGCCCAAGGAGGCTTTGGGGCAATTTTTTACATGTCCTGCTGGAGAGTGATTTCGTGGGTTCAGCCTTCCCATTCATTTACTTCGCTGCCCAAGGCTGCCACCTGGTGGCGACTGCTCATCTTGCATTTCCGAACTTTGTTTCAAAGCGCTTTCACATTCATTTTTTAAAACACCAGATCCTCTTACAATCTGTATGCAAGCTCAGTATTATTATTTCCAGTTTATAATGAGACAATGGGATCTTAGAGAGAGGAAGGAATTTGCAAGTACCTGGAACTGCATTTGGTATCTTTTTCCTCCATTCGGCAAAACCCCAAAATACCGTCCCAGAGTGTGCTGGGTTTGAGCCCAGTTTTAGTCCTGGCGCAGCTACCTGTCCTAAAATGAGGTCTTATCACAGAACTGAATTTGATCATTACCAGGGCCTCCGTTATTTTGAATATTTTTACTTGGTGGAACTATGCTGTGCAGTCATTCCAACTCTTGTGTGTGTTAATGGGTTTTTGCAATCCCCAAAGCCTGAGTTAATTAAATTTTAAAATCCAGGCAGCGCTATCTCCCTAGACTCCGTTGAACCCACCCATCGAACACCTCACAGACAGGTGTACAAGGAGAACCTCCCTCCACTGCGCTCCATAGCCTGCCCATTCGTCAGGTAGGCGACCTTGCTTCATCTTCCTCATTGGGTAAAGAGGGATAAAAAGCAGCATCTATCTCTTGGGTCGATGGGTGCAGCAAACCACCATGGCACATGTTAACCTATGTAACAAACCTTCACGTTCTGCACATGGATCCCAGGACTTAAAGTATAACAATAATAAAAAAACACCTTTTAGAAAATGCAGGACATTCTGGGTTTTACATTTATTTGTTTTTTAAAATAATTATTTAATCTTCCATTAACATCCTGATAACCAAGGGAAAATTCCTTACTGAGATCACAGGAATGGCTGAACCCATCAAATCTTCATTTGAAAGTTCTCTGTTTTGTCTATGTGGAATTTTCCCTGACTGAATACACTACCCCTAAATTCTGTATAGAACTCTTATTGTAACTAATCCTCACACTTCAGGACTTCAGACGAGTCCCTGACATTTTACCCAGGTAAGAGGTGGAACTTAAGCTGTGAATTCAGAAAAACATCTGCTAATTTGCTTTCTGTGCCCCTACATTAATCAGCTGGTATATACCTCAAACTCTTCTGCTTCTTGTTAAATTTTTAGAATAAGAGGGAATCCTAGGTATAGTATTATTTGATTTATTTGAAGGTAAAATGCATTTTGGCCTCCAAATTATTACTATCAATAAACTTACACAAAATTTACTCTCAAAAACAAACAAAAAAAAGCACTGTCTGTCTCAAAAGGTGGTGTGCAGATTCAGTTACACAGTTCACACAGAGCACTCAGGGACAAGCCTACACACCTGTTACTGTAAATGAGCAGCCCTAAGAGGGTGTGACGGAGGCTGCATTCATGAGACATGATGGGCAGGCTGGGAGCAGCCAGTGGAGTGGGTGTTTCCTTTTTAAAATGTTCTTTTAAGGCCGGGCGTGGTGGCTCACACCTGTAATCCCAGCACTTTGGGAGCCTAAGGTGGGTGGATTACTTGAGGTCAGGAGTTCAAGACCAGCCTGGACAACATGGCAAAACCCCATCTCTACTAAAATTACAAAAACTAGCCAGGTCTGGTGGTGCACACCTGTAATCCCAGTTACTTTGGGGGCTGAGGTGGGAGAATCACTTGAACCTGGGAGGCAGAGGCTGCAGTGAGCCAAGTCTGCGCCACTGCACTCCAGCCTGGGCGACAGAGCGAGACTGTGTCGCAAAAAAAAAAAGTTCTTTTAGTCGCAGCTCCTACTCTGGGTGGTATTCTACAAGTCTGTCTTTCCAGGGAGGCAGTGTGTGCTGGAAAAAGGTGCAGGCATTTCGGGTTATCCCATAAAAGGAGACACTACGAGCTTATGAAGCAATTGGATACAGGGCAAGAGGCTGGCGCTCTCAATTAGGAATCATCTCTTGAACGGACTTTTTTCCAAAGAAGATACACAAATGGCCAATCAGCATGTGGAAATATGCTCCACATCACTAGTCATCAGGGAAATGCAAATCAAAACCACAATGAGATACAGCTCACAGCCGTTGGGATGGCTATTAATTTAATAAAACAAAATAGAAAATAACAAATGTTGGTGAGGAAGTGGAGAAACTGGAGCCGCTGTGCACTGCCGGTAGAAATGTAAAATGGTACAGCTGCTACGGAAAACGGCAGGGATGGCGCCTCAGAAAAGGAAAAACAGAACTACCCTATGATCTGGCAATACCACTTATAGGTGTATACCCCGAACAACTGGGAAGAGGGTCTCGAGGAGATATTTAGGCATCCATGTTCATAACAGCACTATCCGTGATAGTCAAAAGGTAGAAATAATCCGTGTCTTTTGATGGATGATTGCATTAACAAAAGGTGATCTACACATACTGAGAGGGGAGACCCTCCCCATCTCCCTCCTCGCAGGCCTCGGCTTCCTCCCTCCGGATGAGAAGGAGGTTAAAGAGTGATAAAATACCAAGGAACTGGAATCCGTGGTCAAGTGACTTGCTAACGCCACTGACCACGCTATCATAAGGCCCAAGGACTGGGAAGATAACCCCCTTTTCAGTTCCCAGCGTCTATACTATCTATAAACCTTGAAGTGTTGCAAAGAATGTTATTCCTACCAGCCAGAGCCTGGCACTGGGTCACAGCCTCCACATTTACATGACCCAGACCTCCTCCTGGAAACACCTCTGCCAACTAATGATTTACTGCCTTTGTCTTGTCTCTGTAAGCCCCCTCCCCTGCCTATTCCCTCAGGCACTGCATATGAATTAGCAAATCAATAAAGCCAAAGACTGTGAGGTCAGCTACCCGGCCAATGGACAATAACACAGTTTCACCTCTGATCCCCCTTCAGAGTTGTAAGCCCTTAAAAAGGGAAAGACGCTCCTTCTCAGGGAGCTCAGTGAATAAGGATGTAGCCTTCTGCAGCTCCTGGCCAAATAAAAAGCCACTTCCTTCCTCAGTTCAGTGTTCAAGAGGTTTGTTTCCTGCTGCTCCTGCTTTAATATAATGAAATATTACACAACCTTAAAAAGGAAGGCAGCCAAGCATGGTGGCTCACATCTGTAATCCCAGCACTTTGGGAAGCTAAGGCAGGCAGATCACCTGAGCCCAGGAGTTTGAGACCAGCCTTGGCAACATGGCGAAACCCTGTCTCTACAAAGAAATAAAATTAGACGGATATGGTGGCTCACACCTGTAGTCCCAGCTACTTAGAAGGCTGAGGTGGGAGGATCACTTGAGTCTGGGAGTTGGACATTGCAGAAAGCCAAGATCGCCCCACTGAACTCTAGCCGGGATGACAGAGAGACCCTGTCTTAAAAAATTTAAAAAACAAAACAAAACAAAACAAAACAAAACAAAACAAAACAAAACAAATCCACGAAGGAAATTGTGACACGTGCTATAATACGGATGAATCTTTTTTTTTTTTTTTTTTTGGCATAGGCTAGAGTGCAATGGCACGATCTCAGCTCACTGCACCTACATCTCCTGGTTTCAAGTGATTCTCCTGCCTCAGCCTCCCCAGTAGCTGGGATTACAGGCACGTACCACCATGTCTGGCTAATTTTTGTATTTTTAATAGAAATGAGGTTTCACCAAGTTGGCCAGGCTGGTCACAAACTCCTGATCTCTGGTGATCCGCTGGCCTTGGCCTCCCAAAGTGCTGGGATTACAGGTGTGAGCCACTGCGCCCGGACAATATGGATGAACCTTGAGGCCATTATACTGAGTGAAGTAAGCCAGACACAAAAGGACAAATACTGCATGATTCCACTTATGTGAAGTACTAGAGTGGTTAAATTCATAGAGACAAAAGTAGTGGTTGCCAGGGGCTGAGGACAGCGGGGAAGGGGAGTTGTTTATTGAGTATAGAGCTTTAGTTTTGCAGATGAAAAGAGTTCCTAGGTGAATGATGGTGTGATGGTTGTACAACATTGTGAATGTCCTGAATGCCACTGATCTGTACACTTAAAAATGGCCGAGACCACAAATCGAGTTCAGTATATAATGCCAAGTGAACGGAGCACCCAATTCTCACAAGTCACGCTAGAGAACTTACTCATGTAACTGAATACCATCTGTCCCCCCAAAACCTATGGAAATATAAAAAAATTGTAAAAATGTGTAAGAGAGTAAATTTAGGTGCACTTTACAATTTTTTTTTAAAAAGAAACTGTCTCACTGAAAGTGACAAGAGCATCCCTTTGAAAGATGCTGCTAGACCATCGAAAAATGGTCAAATACACACATATTTGGTTACAAGAAGCTCACTCATACTGCAAGACCTAAGTCGACTAGTATGCTTGTCATGCTTGTCTAAGTTTTTCCCCTTTGTCTCAGTTGACAAAGAAACCTTTAAAATCAGGAGACCTTTAAAATAAGGTTAGGAAACATCTCCACAGAGCCAGAAACAGCCACGGATCAAAGGAATCTCATTATTAAATGGTGCCGGTTAGCTTCATAACGTTCCATTCATGTATAGCAAGTGATTTATAAATGACTTCTCCTAATCAATGAAATGGCCTAAGGGGCAACACTTTGGAATTGTCAGCTTCAAATGATCCTTTTGAATTTCAGTGGGAAACTGAGGGAGGAGGGAGTTCCTACCTTGTAGATGCAGGACTTCGCGTTCAGAAAGAAAAGCTCAATGGTAGCATTGTCCTTCAAGTACGAAATGCTTTCTATATAGAACCTGAAAGAGAAAAACGATGCATGAACCACAGAAACAGCAGGTGCAGAAAACATGCAGCTCTCTCAAGCTCCATGACTTGCAGTGAAAGCTGAACCTCCCCATCCTAAAGAAACAAAGGAAAAAGCATCATCAGTGGTTTCCCTGTGATCCCCTGTGGAAGACAGTGTTTTTTGAGTTGTGATAGTGGGTTAGGACTGCCATGCCCTGATGGGCCTCACCATAGCCAAAGAATCAGGCCTGCCACCAACCTGTAACAGCAGATTCTAAAACAGACCTTCCACTTTCATTGTCCTATTTGCTTTCTAATTTTACATAATTAATTTGTTATTTGTTTTTTATCACATTTCTTGTCTTTTCTAAATTGTCATTGAGTTGGATTTTCTTTACTTTTTTTTTTTTTTTTTTTTTTTTTTTAAGAGAGACAGGGCCTTGCTCTGTTGCCCAGGCTGGAGTGCAGTGGTGTGATCATGGCTCACTGTAGCCTCAACCTCCTGGGCTCAAGCAATCTTCCTGCCTCAGCTTCCTGAGTAGCTGAGACCACAGGTGCTTATCACCACACTCGGCTTTTTTTTGTTTGTTTGTAGAGATGGAGTCTGGCTTTGTTGCTCAGGCGAGGCCCAAATCATTTGCCCACCTCAGCCTCCCGAAATGCTGAGGTTATAGATGTGAGCCACTGGTGGGGACGAGGGAAGGGATAGCTGAAGGTGAGGGGGGACTGGGGAGCGACAGCATTAGGAGAAATACCTAATGTAGATGAAGGGGTGATGGGTACAGCAAACCACCATGGCACATGTTTACCTACGTGACAAACCTGCACATTCTGCACATCTACCCCAGAACTTAAAGTATAATAAATAAATTTAAAAAGAAAAAAAAAGATAATTTCTTCTGCTAATCACAGCTTTCTTTGAAATGGTTACTGCTACTCCCAAAGGTGGTGAGCTGTGATTTGATTTCTGTACATTTGGAGAGCTATGCTAAGCTAAGTGATATTAATGCATATGAAGCCAAATGAGAGCTGGATTTCATCTGGAGCTTTTTTTTCAAGATGAAACATGCTGACATTATATAAGTTTACACTAAATGTGCCTTTATAATATTGACTTTGGAGTTTATTAAATTCTTTAATGAGACAGTGCACTTGTACTGTCTAATGACTAGCTGCACTGAAGGATGAGGAATTGAGGTGAAGAGGGGAGAAGGGTTGAAATGCAGCATCTTAGAGAGAAGGAGGTTCTGAGCTGGGTGGATTAGGAAGGTGCTGAGTACCTGGGGCTCTTGGAAACTCGGTTTACCAGAAGAGGCAGAAGGTGAGGGAGGTGAAATGGGAAGAAAAAAGTACTACAGTTTTCTAGAACAGCATTAAAAGCTGATGGCCAGAATCCTCTGGAGGGAGTCAGAGAGCAGCGGTGGAGTCCCCAGCTCTGTGTGACTTAGGGCAAGTCACGTCACCTTGTTGGGCTTCTGTTTTTCAGACTGTGAAAGAAGTGGTTCTCTATCTAAGAACCCCACTGGTTTTTATATATTAGAAACGAACTCCAATTTAAACAACAGCAGCAAAAACAAGAAGCCAACGTCGTACAAGGCAAACAAAGGATACCTTTAGCTTCGTAAGTTCTATTTGTAGTAATTCATTAAAATCACTTCTTTTAATCAATATAATCACCTAACGGGCAACAATGTCGAATTTCCAAGTTCAAATGATACTTTTAGATTCCAGTGTGAAATGGAAGAGGAGGGGAGTTTCTACACTGTAGATGCGGGACTTCACGTGTCTTTTCAGAAAGGAAAGCTCAAAGGTAGCATTACCCTTTAGGTACGGTCAAAGATAAAAGGATTTATCCATCATTGGCCGGGCGTGGGGAATCCAGCACCTTGTGAGACCGAGGGAGTGGGATCACCTGAGATCAAGAGTTCAAAACCAGCCTGGCTAGCTGCCGAGATTGCGCCATTGCACTCCAGCCTGGGCAACAAGAGCAAAACTCTATCTTAAAAATAAATAAATTTACGTCCTTTGCAAAATGCCTTTGGCAAAGGGTCATCAGAATAACAAAAGAAACTAAAGGAAGAAAAGTAAGGAAGAGGGAGAAAAGGGAGAGAAAGGGGAGGGAAAGAAGAGAGAAAGCAATCCTAACGCCGGAATACTAACAGAGGCCTGAAGTTGGCAGCTGCCTTCAAAATCTAATAACGATTTTGAGTCTAAATTCATATAGGGTCTGAAATAACTTAATTTTCAAAGTAATGCCATATGTTTCTTTAAAAAAAACTCATTTGCTTTAGTTCTAGAGAATTAAAGAGTAAAGACATCCTGTCTCTTCCACCTTAATTTCCACCTGAAATAGAATATTAACAAAATATAACACTCCCCTTTTCAACTCTAAAATAATATAAAACTGAAATAAGGTGGCTAATCCTACATCTCTGCGACCGCATTAATTTCCACCAAGCTCCATGTTGTCTGGCCATATAGGGGCAGAGAAGGTACAGGAAATAACAGGCATATTCTGAGATGAAGAAAAAAACCATCTCCTTTCGACAGAAGTGGAAAGCAGTTTCCGGTTAACTTTGATCGCCAAGATGACAGGCTGGAAAACCGTGAGTCCCGGGCCTGTCGTATCATTGTTCAGTTAGGGGAGGGGGCTGAGCTCATCCGAACTTTCCCTCCACGCCAGGGAGCTGCTGAGTCAAAAATGGCTGCAGAGAAAGAGCTCAGACATCTCCACCCGCATGCCCAGAGAGGCACGGTGCACGCTGGGGCACCAGGACAAGAGCCTTTTGGGGAGATGGGGAGGGCTCATGGTTTGGATTCAAAGTCAACCTTTTCTTCTTCTTCTTTTTTTTGACATGGGGTCTTGCTCTGTCACTCAGGCTGGAGGGCAATGTGCAATCACACCTCACTGCAGCCTAGACCTCCTGGGCTCAAGTGATCCTTCTGCCTCAGCCTTCCAAATAGCTGGGACTACAGGTATAAGCCACCTTGCTGACTACTTTTTTATTTTCTGTCGAGATGGGGTCTCTCTATGTTGCCTAGGCTGGTCTTGAACTCCTGAGCTCAAGTAATCCTCCCACCTTGACCTCCTAAAGTACTGGGATTACAGACCAGCCTCTTCTTCTTTTTTTAAAATCCTGTTTTTGGCTGGGCGTAGTGGCTCATGCCTGTAATCCCAGCACTTTGGGAGGCTGAGGCAGGCAGATCATTTGAGGTCAGGAGTTCGAGACCAGCCTGGTCAACATGGTGAAACCTTGTCTCTACTAAAAATACAAAAATTAGCCCAGCTACTTGGGAGGCTAAGGCAGGAGAATCGCTTGAACTCAGGAGGCGGAGGCTGCAGTCAGCTGAGATTGCACCACTGCACTCTAGCCCGGGTGACAGAGCAAGACTCTGTCTCAAAAAAAAAAAAAAAAAAAAGGTGGGTTCTTTTTCTGATTTTTCAGGAGAGCCTCAGCAGTAGGTGGCGATGTTGCATTTCCTTAATTACCAGCGTCGGGCAGGGAGTGCTTCCAGAGTTCACAAAGAACATTCCAGGTCTCTGGGTAACCAGGGAAATGAAGGCTGTGTCTCAGATTCAGAGGGTCTGCACAGACAGTTCCGAGTCTGGCTATGTATTGACCATGTCTTTATGACGCTTGAACATCTGTGGCCTTGCTGGGCCTGGAGGCACTGCTGGGGCTGGGGTTAGCCAATTTTCAGAAAGCAAGACTTCCACATGTCACCATGGACCCAGGATCCCCCCCTTCTTCCACCTCTCAGCTCTCACACCCAGGGCCACTATTCCCCCACCCTCACCACCCGGGGGACACGTACCAGACAACCAGGGGCAGCCCCCATGCTGCAGAGCCGGCTGAAATTATTTAAACTAGCCAATCCCAAGCCTGTTCTCCCGGCCTTGCCCATTCCTCCCCACAGAAACCACAAAAAAGGCTCTTGCCCAATTGTTCCCTGGCTCCCCTGCCTCCTGACTAACCCCGGTGCCTCCCATGTGGCCCCGCGTGGCGCGGTGCTGCCCCTCCTCCTGGGAATGAGTGACAATCTTTTCAACGTCTGTCCTCTCCTCATCTGCTGGCCTCACCACAGCTGAATCATAATCAGAACCACACTTTAAACTGTTTTTTGGGGCACATTTAGCAGGACTGAATCTTAGGGCGTCCATCTGAGTTGAAAGGAACACTGGACAGACTGCAGACCTCGCTGAGGGCTCCTGAACTCCACAAGCAACCTTCCATCCAAGCGAGCTCAGATGACCCGGACCTGAGAATATTTTATCAGAGAGCCTGAAGGAGAAATAAGTAGGTGCTCTGTGTTTGTGTTTGAGCTTATTAAATATTAAACAGCCTCTGAAGCCTCGGGGGGTCCTGTCCCCTTCTTTGACATGTGAAAGCCTCTGATTGCAACAGACTGAACGCTGCCCGGTCAGATGGCAAGGGCCCAGCCAGATGACATCAGCCAGGTCTCCTCCTCCAACCCCTCCTGCTCTCCCTTTCCCTTTCCCATCCAACCCTGGGCACTTGGGAATCACTGAATATTTACAGCAAGTGTTAATTAAATGGACCAGTGATTTCATTTTGTAATCAACACAAATGTCACATTTAAAACGCCTACCCTTGGTGGCAAATAAGAACCACAATAATAAGAGCAATAAGCTGTGAGTTTCTGCAGCCAAGGCTCTGATGCCTAGAATCTCAATGGCTCTAAAATCTTAACTGGGACACCCAGCTGAAATATAGCAAGTTCTGGTTAGCAGGAACCTCATTTTAGATCCATGCCATCATTGTTATTGCGAGTGACAGGAAGGAGCAGCTGCTGTCTCCACCAGCCGGGAAGACACCAAGAATCTTGTCCATGGACTTGGCTGAAAGTCTTTCCTCCCCGATCAGGCTTCTCCTTTCTTATCTTTCTACTGCTTGTTTCAGTTTATTGTCTGTGAAGCTCAAAAGTTTGAAGAGGCATATCTAATCTCTGTTTATTTTCTTATAAGGAGTTTAGATGATCAGAGCTACAG